TGTAAAGAGTATTTTGTATTTTTAAATATAGTAATTTCATTAGATGATAGTATTGGAATATAAATTTAATCTATTAATGGTGTGTAAATAGAATCACTCATAATTAAATTGACTAAAATTGAGAACTTTAAGGACCAAAATAACAAAATTGAAACTTCAGAGAGTTAAATGACAAAAAACGCATACTTTAAAGTATTAAAATTGTCTTTTATCTTTTATTTATTTATTTATATAACATTACTCTTTTATAATTGAATAATTAAAAGTTACAAAATGAAAAGGACCATCAATGACTATATAACTTTTTGTTTTTTTTCCCAATTTCAAACAAATAATTAATTATTTATTTCAAATCCTGACACAATTTACAAATTAATTGATATTCAAATTCGTGTTTCATCAATTAACATAGAAAATAATCAAATTAGAGGAAAATGTGCAATGAAAATAAGCGGTGTCTGTCATTTAATTAATTAATGGTATTAGGTTCAGGGACAGATTGTATATAGGTAGGTGCCATGTAATTGCTTGCGGCTATACATATAGGCGAAGTTCGGTCAATTTCTAGGCGAATTGAAAAATTTTAACCTACAGATCAATCAACTGCTTAATTTTTATCACCTAGCCTAACTCCCTCACCTTCTCAAAACGAGTGAATTGGTTTAAATTAGTTTTATTTATTTTTATTCTTTACATATCTTTACTTAAAGTTATAAACGAATTAAACTGTTTGTGAACTCGGCTCGACTAAACTTGTTAAGTAAATAAACAAGTTCAAATTTAATTTTTAAACTCGTTTAGTAAATGAGTTAAGTTCGAGTTTAAATAAGTTCAATTCGTTCATTTTTATTTAAATTATAAAATAAAAATATTATTTATATGTTAAAATAATATAAATATATTATTTATATATTTAAATAATGTAAATAATAATTAAAAAAAATTCATTATTGAGTTGGAAGCCAAGTTTGAGTTGAATTAGTTATTGAGCCGAGTTTGAGTTGGATAATCGAGCTTGATAAACAAACGAGCCAACCTTGAGCCCAACAAAGTTTCGCTCAACTCAATTTGTTTGTAGCTTTACTCCTAGTGACTGTAATGTACTGATTATTTATCTTTCCTTTTTTAATAAAAGTATATATGATGGGTCATTGAACACACCAAAATTAAATACTAAACTACACCAAATTCTTTCAGAATAATGGCAAGTGCAGCTATCGATCCATAGCGACAATTGTGAAATTAAACTAATTTAATTGTTAAATTTCTAAATTAATTTTGATAAAAAGATTGATTGTTCATAACCTAAATTAATAACAAATAAATTAAACTAAGGAATTAAATTATCAATAATAAATGAAATTGGATTTACTGAATTGGGGAAAAAACTAGGGCAAAGAGTCCACCACTAGCCACATAATTAGGGTTTTCAATTGAAATCAATTATGCTATGGTTTGAACGGATTAATGCTTCGCAACTACAAGTCCAAAACATTTAACAAGAAGATCATCACATTCAATGTACGAGCACGAACCATCTCAAGTAATACGAATCGTTCACTCTAAACTAAGGTAGTGATATGACTTGTTCCTCGTAGCATGGTTCGTCTCATACCTTGAATATGAAGGAATAGAAAACTCATGTATGGATAACATTCAACAATCACAGAAAATCAAATATTTGAAGAGATAATGAAAAATATATATACGAAACTTCTAAATCACCATACAAATGTTCAAACATTTACATAATTAAAAATAAAAAAGAAAACTAAATAATTACATGGCTAGGGTTTCATCAAAACCCTAGAAAAAGGAGACTAGCCACTCATAGAGGAGTAGAAGGAGGTAGATGGAGAAGAAACCACCATGAGAGACATCCTTGAAGCTTTTTGTTTCTCTTCCCTTCCAAACCCTAGCCTCTCTCCTTAGGTCAAAACAAGTTCCCCATCCTATTCCAGCCTTTTCCTTGCCTTTCTATACTTCCAATCTCGTCCAAACAGGTTTAAAACGTTGGTTTGACTTTCCTGAAAAAGTCAACGCACGTGCGGAAAAGTCAACTCTGTCCAAATTCTGTCTTTTTGCCCATTTTATACTCTGACGATATACAACCTGATTGACATTCAACACACATAAAGTATACAGTTTGACTAGCAAGTGAAGTTAAGAGATTCTAATTAATGGCCTCAATGATGTACATTTCGTCCTTAATCACATCCCCCAACTTACTACTTGCTAGTCCTCAAGCAAGTAAAATAAAATAAAATTAAACAAAATCTATCTATTTCCTCTTTCGTGGGAAAACGGTTGCATTTAGCATATGTAACAAGCCTTTAAACCACAAGGTTACCCCAAGTGGACGAGTAAAGTCTCGTGAGGGTTTTCAGAAATGATACCCACAAACATTAACATATTCATATATACTCAACAACAAATGACCACACTACTCCACCTAACAATCAACTTATGTGCCACTACAGTGTGATATTGAGACATCATGAGTCATTAAAGGCACAGTGGACAAGCATGAAGAAACCTATTGAGTCGAAACCACAATTTAGTTAATACAAAAGTAAAGTTCTCTATACTTGTGAATGCTAGTAGACAAGTCATGAGTACCCTCGGTGTAAAGTGCAATCTCCATATTAGTTAGCTATCCACTATAATAGCCCAGTGTAACTCATAATAACACCCAACATATACAGAAAAACTAACCTGTTGCAGCCAATATGTTTGTTCTTGTTGATGAAATGAAACTAGAAACACAACTTTCAGTTCTTCACAGTAGGGAAAATAATTTTTGTTCTTGTTCTTGTTCTTAACAGTGGGGAAATGTGAATCTATGTTTGTTCTTGTTGATGAAATGAAATTAGAAACACAACTTTTAGGGGGAAATGTGGATCTATGTTTGTTCTTGTTGATGAAATGAAATTAGAAACACAACTTTTAGGGGGAAATGTGAATCTATGTTTGTTCTTGTTGATGAAATGAAATTAGAAACACAACTTTTAGGGGGAAATGTGAATCTATGTTTGTTCTTGTTGATGAAATGAAATTAGAAACACAACTTTTAGGGGGAAATGTGAATCTATGTTTGTTCTTGTTGATGAAATGAAACTAGAAACACAACTTTCAGTTCTTCACAGTAGGGAAAATAATTTTTGTTCTTGTTCTTGTTCTTAACAGTGGGGAAATGTGAATCTATGTTTGTTCTTGTTGATGAAATGAAATTAGAAACACAACTTTTAGGGGGAAATGTGGATCTATGTTTGTTCTTGTTGATGAAATGAAATTAGAAACACAACTTTTAGGGGGAAATGTGAATCTATGTTTGTTCTTGTTGATGAAATGAAATTAGAAACACAACTTTTAGGGGGAAATGTGAATCTATGTTTGTTCTTGTTGATGAAATGAAATTAGAAACACAACTTTTAGGGGGAAATGTGAATCTATGTTTGTTCTTGTTGATGAAATGAAACTAGAAACACAACTTTCAGTTCTTCACAGTAGGGAAAATAATTTTTGTTCTTGTTCTTGACAGTGGGGAAATGTGAATCTATGTTTGTTCTTGTTGATGAAATGAAATTAGAAACACAACTTTTAGTTCTTGACAGTGGGGAAAATAATTTTAATTTTAGTCACAACTTTTTTATTTTGAAAACTCAATTATTTTCTGTATTCCATCTTTTTTTGATTTTGTGTTTTCAATCTTCATAACCATGGGGTTCAGCTAATTAATCAACATAAACAAAGGAAGTCCCGAAAAGCATGTCTTAGATTAAACAGTAAGTGTATTTTACAGTGCTTCAAAACTAGCTGCAAAGTAATTGTTCTATGTTCCAATTACCTACTTCAACCCAATGATAACTAACATACTAGTGCAAACATATGGCAATGTAAATTTTGCAACAATCAATACCTCCTTTTGGAATTTATCCAGTTCAAAAGGAAATTCAAGTGCCATGTCAGGAACAAGTTCATGAAAATGTTCTGCAATCCCTTCACTGTCTCCACTAATGGCCCAGCCCTGCAGATAAAAACACTCATTAACTAATAGCATGGCAAGAGACAGAATGCAAACAACTGAACAAGCTATATTAACCTCTTTATGCTGCTGCCCACCACTATCACTAGTTTCATGCGATCTTGAAGTTAATCCTCCTGATTCTACTAACAAAATATCATCTACCAGCGATGATTCAGTATCAAAAACAGCACCAGGCACATTTTCCTTAGTCTCTTCAGCTTCCAACTCAACAGGCTCCAATTTAACTGATTCCTCATTGACTTCAGCTATAGTCCTTTTATTTTTATTTTTAACATTGTGTTTTCTTATCTTGAATAGAATTTCCAAATTTTTCATTGGTTAGTTGCATGTTTTCTAGACTTCTATGCATAGCAATTTGCAATAATCAAAATAAAATTGTTATATGTGTGATGTATAGCTATGCAGCCTTGTTTCTCTATATGTGTGTTGTATATGTGTGTTTTGGGATGTGTCTATAACTGAATCTGTGTGATGTATACAAATTGTGATTTGAATCTGTCTATAGCTGAATCTGTATTAGGATGTGTGATGTATACAAGGTTGCAATAAGCTGTTTCACACTTTGCATTTGAGTTTGAAGGTACAATGTACATTGATTCAAACAATCGTACATTGAGCGGGGGTGAGAAAGTTGAGGAACCAGAGAACAATCCTTCATTAAATAAGAGTAGTGAAATTGAAGAACCTAAGAAGGGGATGTGCTTTACCTCAAAGCAAGGAGTGCACGAGTTCTATGCAAAATATGCGAAAAACCTTGGATTTGCTATAGCTTACAGAACACAAAATGTTGGTGTAGCACTTGTACCCTTTTAAAACTTTTGGGAAGTGTATTTGAACCCTTTATTTTATTTTGGGAATCATTGGTGTTGTTGTATCTTGGTTTTGGAGGAGTACAAATTAATTTAAACTTGTTGGGATTGTTCGTTCACGCTTGTTTACGTTGAAAAGTTATTTGGGAACTTAGAAATCTTGTTCGGGGATCGACACCAATCTTGGTGGTGTCAACACTTGTTTTTTGTTTTTGGCCTTAAGGGTCGACATCAGTCTAGAAGGCTCGACCCTTGTGTGTTGCTGAATCTGGAGGTTGCTTGTTGTTTTTTGGTATCGACACTAGTCTGGGAAGGGTCGATGCCTGTGTTGCTGTCAAACATAAGTGTTCTAGCTTTTCTTCATAAGGGTCGACACCTGCGAACTTTTTTCCAAATTTCAGTCCGGTTTGGGCCCTACTTTTTGGAAATTTTGACTTGATCTTTTGGGTTGACTTTGGGACTTCATTTTACTTTGACCTAGCACTATAAATAGGTCCCTCACTTAACCTTTTCTTTACTTTTCTTCTCTTTTTCCCTCTCCAAGTCGTAAGTCACTCTCTCCCTCTCCCAAATCACTTTTTGCTCAAAGATCTTTAGATCTATTCACTTGGAAGCATCTCCTTGCCTTGTTCCTTTGAGAAAGGTTGTAGATCTTGTCAAGGGCTGCCTTTTGGTCCGAATAGTTCATGGTTTTGTCGCCAGTGGATTTTCAGGTTTTTTCCTTTCGCTTCAAGAGACAGGGTTGCTCCTTTCTAGTACCTCGTCTATAGATAGATGCGTGGTGGATCTTATTGCATAAAAACCATATTCATTATGGATTTCCTTGAAAACCATGAAAGGGGATCTGGGGTTTGATATTTGTGATTAGAGTTGTTAAGTTGTTTGTTGTTGGGTTACTTGGAAGATGATTTATTATGTTTGTAAAGAGAGGGAAGAAAGCCCTAATTTAATATTATTGATATAATGGATTTAAAAGGGAGGAAGTTGAATAATCTTTATATTTTGCTAATATGGTTTGTATAATTGTGTTTATATCAAAAGAAAATAAAAAGAGAAGTAACCACAGTGTTGGTATTGTTTTAGACTAATCACGTGAAGTTGAGTTGAGTTATGGTTTTCATACCAATTGAATTGGTTTTGTAAAATAAAGAGGATGGATTTGGTTTTGGTTTTGTAAAATGACGAGAATGAACTTTTAGAAAATGATTGGAGTCGTGTGGATTGTAAAATAAAGAAAGGTGGTCTTTTTGAAAGAGAATGAAATCATCACCCTTTGTAAATTGATAATGAACTTGAGGTCGGATTTTGGAACCTTTACATATTATCATGGTTATTGGACTGAAAGTCTAGCGTGAATTAGATTTTTGTTTTCCTTTCGTATGAGATGTAGAAATGGATAGATATGAATGTAAATGGTGGAGTTGGATATTTCTAATCTCTCACCTATGATAATATAGATAGTTTATCTATTTTGGAGATTGTATATATGTTTAGAAATATATGTCTTGGGCTATCGGTGAATGATAGCTATGATTGTTGTAGAAATTGCATAAGGATTAGGAGAATTGAAACTAATCTCTTGTTGGTTGTCATTGAATATGACCATGTTTAAAATACATTGTATATGTATGATGTTTGGGAGAAGAAAGGGGATGCACTCCATGTTTGGGAGGAGGTAAGGGATGGACTCCATTGAAATTAAGTTGGCTAGAGTGTCTAGGGTGAAAGTCCCGAAACCGCGCGTATATATATATATATATATATATATGCATGGGTGCCGATTCCCGCGGACGAAATTTCCGTAAAATGGAAAATTGAAGTGTTTGTGTAATAATTGTGTTGATTAAGAACCATTGAGTTGTAGCCTCAATTGGGTGTCTAAACTGTAATGAATTGGCTCATAAATTGAGATGAAATAAATTAACTTGAAATGAATTATCATGAAATGAAGTAAGACTAAAATGGCTTGAGATGTATCCTTAGCTTGGCATTTTGTTATAGGAAGGTGTATCCTTGGTTTACCGTGTTTAAGGTAGGTAGAGCAGATCTTGTTTATCATTATTGTCTCAGTGTATCTGGGTATATTATGGGTTATGATGGTTATGGTTCTGGAAGACTGAGTTGTCTCATTTGTTGAGTAGATAGTTGTTGGTTGCTTGTTATTTTCCTTTTGTACTAAAGAAATATATGTATAGATATGAGTGTGTTGGAAACAGAGTAAGTACTGTATTGAGAGGGTGAATAACGTGATGGACTTCGGGTACTTGTGAACATGTTTCAAAAAGGTAAATCGAGTGTAAGTTTGGAAAGAAAGAGAAAGCGTAATGGGCTTGGTGAAATTGTTTTCAAGGATTTGTTACTGTCATATGAGTTTTGGCAAAAGGTAACAAGAAGGAAAAAAAGGTAAATTACTCATGTTGTTGAACGAAATGAATGATTTTGAGAAAGATTCTTATATAAGTGTGTTTCGGTGTAAACTATCACATTATGTATATGTTATGATTTAAAGCATTCATGATCAAACCTATCTGTATGTTATTATTGTTTGGGATCCCTACTGGACTTTATGTTCATCCCACGTTGTTAATCCTTTTTCAAGTGAACGTCAATAAGGGTCTCAAGATCGAGGATCTTCTTTATGTGTTGGCCACGGGGCCTTTTATTTGTAGGCGGAATGCTATTGATGTAAAAAGGGTTAAACCCTTTCTTTTAATTCAAAAGATGTACGCTTATGGGCAATTTATTTATTTTTATCTCATGTTGCATTCATTTCATTTTTGAATGAGAGAATCTTTAATAATGGTACTCGTTATTGTATTGAACTTCCGCGCATGATCTCTGAAATTGTGTTATAATAATGGATTTGGTAATGGTATCTATTGGCACAAAAAGCGGGGCGTCACAGTTGGAGCTAATGGAAAGGTGAAATACTTTGGAATTGAATGTACTCGGGCGCAGAAGAGGACAAAAAGATCAGAAGTAAACCCCCTGAAGCCATCTTTGTTATCGAAAATTGATTATAAAACAAAGGTAAGAGCGACTTTACAAACGCATGGAAGATATAAGTTAACTACAGTTGTGCTTGAGCATACACATGACTTGATTTCTAGTGACTTACGACATTTTCCAATGAATAAGAGGATTCTTACTCTTGTGAAGAGAAGATTAGAAATAAACGATGAAGTAGGAATAGGGGTGTCTAGGAATTTTCATTCTATAGTTGTTGAAGCGGGGGGATATGAGGCATTAACATTTGATGAACGAGATGCAATGAACCACATTAAAAATGCTAGAAGATTGAGGCTTGGGGTAGGAGATGCCGAATCAGTTGCATTTTATTTTCATAAGATGCAACAAGAAAATTCAAACTTCTATTCTGCAATTGACTTTGATGTAGGTTGTCACATATGAAACTTGTTTTGGGCGGATGCCAGGAGTAGGGCGGCTTATAAAGCATTTGAGGATGTTGTCTCATTTGATACCACCTATCTCACAAACAAATATGATATGTCGTTTGCTCTGTTTTGTAGGAGTTAATCACCATGGACAGTCAATCTTGTTTGGTTGTGAGCTATTATGTAATAAGAACACGAAGACATTTGTTTGGCTATTCAAAGAATGGTTAAATTGCATGTCAGCCACTCCTCCAAAAGCTATTATAACTGACCAGTGCAGAGCCATGTAAAATGCCATAGAAATTGTCTTCACACAGGCTCGACATCGTTGGTGTTTATGGCATATAATGAAGAAAATTCCCGAGAAATTGAGAGGATATTCCCAATATGAAGCCATCAAATTCGCTTTACAAAATGCAGTGTATGATTCTTTCACAAAAGATGAATTTGATGAGGAATAGCAAACGATGATTGAAAAGTTTAACCTCTATGACAACGAGTGGTTAGGGGTATTATATGGTGAGCGACATAGGTGGATTCCTGCCTATGTCAAAGATATATTTTGGGCTGGCATGTCAACTACACAACAAAGTGAGAGCATGAATGCATCTTTTGATGGCTATGTAAACTCGAAGACTACTTTAAAGCAATTTGTTAAACAGTACGATAATGCATTGAGAAGTAAGGTGGAGAAGGAGACCAAAGCAGACTTCAAATCTCGAAACAAATTGTATGATTGGTTAACGGTGTATGAGTTTGAGAAGCAATTTCGTGCAGCCTACACAAATGCGAAATTTAAAGAAGTTCAAGTAGAATTAAAGTGACTTCGGTATTGTCATGCGACTCTTGTGAAGGAGGAGGGATCCATTTGTACTTATCATGTCAATGAGGCAATGTTTGTGGGTGAGAAAATGAAGAAAGTTGAATTTCTTGTATACTTTAATTCAACTGAATTTGAAATGCAATGTGTGTGTCGGTGGTTTGAGTTTAAGGGGATCATGTGTGCCCATTCCCTTAGTGTTCTCATTGAGAGGTGCATATATGAGGTTCCAGATAAGTACATTTTGCCGAGATGGAGAAAAGATTTGAAAAGAGGGTACACATGTATTCCAAC